CAGTCTCAACTAGGATTAAATGAGGGCTACCTGTCTCAGCAATTCTGAGATCTTTCTGAACCTATTCTCTGTATATTTCTGCCAAGTCTGCATCCCTTTCCTGGTGTGGTTGGTGTGTGTGTGTGTGTGTGCGTGTGTGTGCACACGCGTGCGCCTTATCCTTCTCATTTAATTGTTGTAAGCTACTATTTTGCAATATTGTGTAATATAGTAATAGTAATATTACAGTACCTCTCTCTGAGGGATATGTGGTTTAGAAATAGGAAATATAAATAAAGAAAAACAAAACATTGCAATAATGTAACATTGAGATTTCTTACCATAACTTGATTAGCTTGATTTCTGTTTCATTTCATACATTGAGGCGCTACAACATTTCCAATCCTTGATTTTATTTCTAGATTTGCCCTTCAGTTTCCAGTAATTAATTTGACATTCTTTTTTGGTGGAGAAGTTGCCTTAGCAAAGGACTTGCAAGTGTGGTCCATGTCCTCTGCATCTGTGGTGGGAAGGAGCATATACTTGAATCACTGCTATACTGATTACCTGTCTTGGCTTGAGATAATTTTCTTTGAAGGGTGGCACTGACTTTCACCCTCTTGTTAATGATGATGATGATGGCGACTGAGAAGATAGAGAAATCATGGTGCTGATGTTAACAGATTTGCTTCTTCTTTTCCATTATAACTGGTAAATGAAAAGGCCTTTTCCACAGTCTTCCTGTTGCTTTTTTTAAATCATTCTCTTGCGTTTACCTTCTATAGATGGAACAAGAAGCTGAAAGACGTCGGCAGCCACAAACCAAACAGGAACCAGAATCTGAGGAGGAGGAGGAGGAAAAGCAAGAAAAGGAGGAGAAGCGGGAAGAACCTGAAGAAGAGGAGGAGGAGCCAGAACAAAAACCCTGCCTTAAGCCAACACTGCGACCCATCAGTTCAGCTCCATCTGTTTCATCAGCAAGTGGCAACGCAACTCCCAATACTCCTGGGGACGAATCTCCCTGTGGCATCATCATCCCACATGAAAACTCTCCTGATCAGCAGCAGCCAGAAGAATACAGGGCAAAAATAGCACTGAGTCTCAAATTGGGTAAGTTTTTTGGTTTTGCAGCTTGGCATCTTCCTAAAACTGGGAAGAAAACGGAAAAATATAAAGCTTCACTTAAGTGTTGTGGTAACTGGCTTATTCACGAATTCTGCTTCTCTCCTTTGTAGAAAAAAAATTATCCATGTCCTTTTGTTTTTAATTATGCCATCTTTACCTTGATTCTGACAAAATCTTGAGTGGAATTTGTATTATGTGAGAGATAAATATTTTCCTTTATGTTACTATAGGTGCCTGCAACAGTCCCAACCAGCCTAATGCTGTGAAAAGAAAAAAACTCACCGTTGACAGTGTCTTCAATAAATTTGAAGATGAAGACAGTGATGACATGCCCCGAAAAAGGAAACTGGTGCCTCTAGATTATGGCGATGAAGACAAAGGTTCCTCCAAAGGCAGCGTAAACACTGAAGAGAAGCGCAAACACATTAAGAGTTTGATTGAGAAAATTCCTACAGCCAAACCAGAGCTATTTGCTTATCCTCTTGACTGGTCTATTGTGGATTCAGTGAGTATTTTGACCAACATCCACCTCCCCATGAATATAATATTCAAAGAGCTCATTACAACAGTTTATCTTCTCTCATGTGGGCCAGTATCCCTCAAACATCTGATGTCACCAAAGGAAAGCCATACTCTGTTTCCTGAGTACAGGGTATAAAATGAGGGGTCCTCTCTGAGCTTATCTGTTTTCTTGCAGACGTTTCATTACCCAAACTAGGTAATATCTTCAGTGCACATGATGTAACCTAGAAATGATATGAATCATAGTAAATATAATCTTAACGAATCTTGATCCGTTACACCAAGATGCAGTAAATCAGGGTTCCACAATATACAAACAGGGAAGCACGGTCAACAGTTGGATACCCCCTGATGACTTGATATTTGTGTGGATCTGTAAAATACATCTTTTTTTTTCTATGTGAGTCACTGACTCATTTTTAGTGGCATATAATACATTTAATAAATAAAATTTAAAAGTAGAACAGTATAAAAAAGAGAAAAATACTAAGTGGCCTGAAGATAGACATAAACAAACAAAAAAATCCATCCATCCAACAGGCTCCTTTCTCAAGCCTGGGAGAATGATTAGGTTTTAAGTAGTTTCCTGGATATTGCCAGAGTAAGAGTCATTCAGATCTCTGAGGGACCATTTCAGAGGACAGACACCTTTGAGAGGGGAGGGGATACATTTTAATTTAAAGTTTAAAGATTGCATTCCTGTTTGAACATCTTATTCCATTTAAAAGTCTACAAGTGTATGTATGACTCTCAAAAAAGGATAAATTAATTTGTAGTGGTACAGAAAAATATATTTTTAAAACTTCTGTGTTTATTCCAGACATTAATGGAAAGGCGAATTAGACCATGGATCAACAAGAAAATAATAGAATATATTGGTGAAGAAGAAGCTACATTAGTTGATTTTGTTTGCTCAAAGGTAAGCTTACTTTTCTATACATGTAAAGTTGTTTGTTTCTGTATATGAACCTTCTGTGTACAGAATGGCTGTTCTCAGTTAATCTGTGCCTGAACTAAAGCATGCCTGTTTTGGGTTGATCAAAATGGAGCTCTGCGGGCAGAAGAGGAAAGAGGGACAAAACCAAGAGCAATTGTGATGGCAGGAGTGGGAAGAGAAGAAAGGACAAGACTGGTACTGAGCACAGCTTCCCTTTAGCAGCTTCCAGGATAGTCTGTTTGGCCAGCTTACCTAGCACAGGGTGTGTTTCAGAATGTATTTTCCAATGTTGGCTGCACTATACATCTGAAAGCTGACATTTGAATGAAATCTCCAAATATTTATCAGTAATAATACTTAAAATAATGCAAATACCGTAACAAATGGTAAAAAATAGCTTAACAAACAAACAAATTATCCAGAAGAGTTGTGACTGTCCTTTTACTGAAGGTGGTCAGATAGATGCTGGACAGTCTATTGTGGATACTTTAATTTGGATTCCTGCATTGAGTGAAGGATGGACTCTTGTGATCTGAAAACCTACATGTTTGCATTTACTGTTTGCAAAAAATTGGATCTTGGTAGCAATTGAAAAGTTCACTGCAAAAAAATAAGAAAGAGAAAAAGGAAACGAATTCTGTAAATACAAGAAAGTATGTCTTCTGCAGTGCACAAAAGATATTAGTATTCAAACATGTAAATGCTCAGCCTAGTTGTTTTAGGTATGGTAATGCATATTTAAAATTACTTGGTATTGGTATCAAATGCCATTGAGGCCACTGAGGTTCACGAGTACTAATAATAAATAGCATAGCAAGAATTTAAATTATGGATCCACTGAGCCTGTTTGTTCCAATGTAGGAAGTAAAAGTCAAGAATATCTTGGGTCCATCATGGTGGTTTACCTTTATTGAGAATTGCTGTGCACTAAAAAATATTCTAAGAAGCTTTTTGTAGCAGTAGTTGTTAACTTGGAGCCTTATAGGTGTATTTAAGGTCAAATCTGAAAGTATGACTAGAGTGACTGGAGATGACGAGAGTTGTCATCCAATATATTTGGAAGGCATCAGATTGTGAGTGGCTGTTCTAGAGTAGGATTTCAGCTTGGCGTGTAGACCAAGTCTGCTGAGTTTTATTGTTTTGAAGTAAATGGAGAGTATATTGTGGAGTATGGCCAAAGGCTCTGGCAAGATCAGATTGGTGGTCCAGTGTTCTATGCTGCAGTAGCAACTTCTCAAAAGAGATGTGTGTGTATTGCACACTAATTTTATTCTATTCATCATGTTTGGATTTTGTTTACCTGAAAGCTGAAACACCACAAATGGTTCAGCAGAACATGTTCTGATTAGAAACAAAGCAGTATCTCTATTTTGTACACATCTCTGGTATGAACAGTGGTGTTTAAAAGTTTGTGAATCCATTTGAATTTTCAGTATTTCTAAAGAATGTAATCTAAACTGTGACCTGTTGTTCACATAAGTCTTAAAGGAGAACCCAATTAAATAAATGAGTAAAAAATGCAATATGTTCATTTATTTATTGAAGAAAATAATCCAAAGCTACATATTTATGTGTGGCAAAATTATGTGAATCTTTGGTTTCAGTAATTGGTGTGCCTTTTAGTTGCAATAACAGCAACTAAATAGTTTTGATAACCATTAATCTATCCTGTACTTCAATTTGAGGGAAATTTAGCCTATTTCTATTTACAGAACAGCTTCAATCCAAGGATATCAGCTTTTTTCCATGAACCGGCCATTTCAGATCTATCCACACAATTTATATAGGTTTACGGTCAGGCCTTTGACTTGGCCATTCAAAACCATTAACTGTCTTCTGAACACTTTTCATTGAAGCCAAATAGTTGTATTTTTATCTCATCCATCCATGGAACATTCTTCTAATAGCTATGTGGTCTTTTACAAACTGTAGACAAGCAGCAATGTTCCTTTAAGGAGTAATGGCTTTCTCCTTGCAATCCTGCCATAAACACTCAAATTCACCAAGGCAAGAGAGGCCTTTGGTTGTTTTGTTGTAATCCTGCAGTTCTTTGAGACCTCCTAAAGTATAACATGTCTTGCTCTTGGCAGGTGTAGCACTCATCCATTTTTACATGATTTGCCTGCAGTGGATTGATGGAATCCAAACGTTTTAGAAATAGTTTCGTAACCTTTTCCAGCCTACTGAATGTCAACATATGTTCTTCAGAGATCCTCAGAAATCTTCTTTGCTTAAGCCATGGCACATTTTCACATACCTATGTTGTGAAGATCAGACTTTTGTAGCTAATACTCAAGACTTCCCTTTTTCAAATAAAGCAGGACTTCCTATATTTATACTTTTTTATAAATATAATATTAATTATACCTTTTATTGAAATATTTGACTCTTAAGTACCCCTTCAAATGAATTTATCATCCTGATAATCCTAAAAGATTTATATACATTTGCCATGTCCAGATTGATAGCTTTGAATCAATTTCTTCAATAAATAAACCAAATAATGTTCTTGATTTATTCATTTAACTGGATTTTCTAATTTTAGAAGCTGTTTGGATAACTGATCACATTTTAGGTCATATTTATTCAGAAATTTTGAAAATTCAAATGGATTCACAAGCTTTTAAGAACTACCATATAATGGCTGATTTAATGTTTGGGTGCTCCATTTTTCACATCTCTACTATTCTGTGTTATAAAATTTATTGAAAGAAAACTTACTGGGAAAAATCAGTCAGTCACCTTTTGGTCTTTTAATTGGTGGCTTTAGAGCAGAAATCTGTTGATGGACCTGTATAGCACTTTTATATTGATCATGTGTTTTGAGAACTATGGTATGCTCCTACTGCGATTGCTTATGACATGGTGTCTACTTTTAACATCTGTCCGATGTACTATAATGCCTTCTTAATAAACATTGAAATGCCTGTTAAAAATTACATTTAATAATTAGCATTTTGTCTGTCATATTCAGTGTGGAGACTTATAAGTGCCATATTTGCTAGAGTGCATCTGGAAAAGACATTTTATTTGAAATCAAAAGTGAGACTTGAAAAAGATTTAAGATAATTTGTTATCTTGAGTTTATCTGTTATACTGATAACATTTCCAAGTCTCCTGTGCTTCCATTTTTCAAACAGTTTAAAATGCTAAGACAATTTCTATGTATCTCTTTCAGGTTATGGCTCATAGTTCACCACAAAGCATCCTGGATGATGTTGCTATGGTGAGTAAAAGCAAGAATTTACCAATGTAAACTTGTAACACTTTATCAGAAAACAAAATTGCTGCTTTTACAAAATGAATGTGGAATAATAATTGCAATGATTGTGCCCTAAATTGGAAATTTTCTGTTTCTCCTACAGGTGCTAGATGAAGAAGCAGAAGTTTTTATAGTCAAAATGTGGAGGTTATTAATATATGAAACAGAAGCCAAAAAGATTGGTCTGGTAAAATAAACTTATTTTATGGTTCCATTTCAATTTTTGTTTCACATCACTGAAGAACTTTGAAGTTTCTCTGTGCTCAGAGACATTTGTGAGACCTGTATTTTTTAAATGTAGAAAATGTGAATTTTTTTCATCCTCTGTTTCATTGAGGCCATCTTTGTTCCATTTCTCTGCTTCCTTGATTGTAATTCTCCAAATTCTACATTGGTGGTTTTCACGCACCAGATAAAGTAACAGGTATGATTTATAAACTGCAGTTGCTGTATACAGTCTCTGACCTTCATCTTCTAGACGGCTTCTTGTAAATATTGAAGACACTCATGTTTTAGGAAACATCTCCACTTACTACATATGGAAATAATTGAACTTTATGTAAATGCACCAGTCTTTCCCTCCATTTTTAAAATAGAATAAACTTAAAAATTCCAAAAATGGATGGGGAATCATTTTGCTGGAAGACAATTTTCACCTGCATGGATGTGAACTTGTTCACTTGTTGGGCTTTGTAATATTTTAGATGGCCTGTCCTGTAGAAAAAACAAATGGTGGACTTGCATAAACTCAGGACTTTCATTTTAACTATATCACAAGGTCTCACACTTAGTTTTCTTGTTGTCATTGTTTTAATTAGGACAAATACCACACAGTTATAATTACTTTTAGCCCTTCTAATAAAAACATGACATCTTAATTTTTATTATTAAAACTGGAAATAGGCCAGTTTGGGATATTTGTGGAAAGCAATGGTATAAAGGTGTAATTTGAGCAGAACAATTTACAATGTTAGTTCATAATGTGTTCAAAGATGAAAAAACTGTTTTACCTAAGCCATCAAGTCAGCTGTGACTTCATTCTTTTTTGTATTGTAAAATGTCTGTCAGATTTGTAGAGGGCACCATTTCCTGCCATCTTACTCTATGGGTTTTATACATATGCTGATGTGGTATAAATAACAATGTACTGTAAACTGCATTTTTAAAAATCTCACAAGTAAAAAAGACTGTATGCCATAGGCTTCTTGATTGCAGGACAAACACTTTCCAGGAAGCAACAATTTGTCTTTTTAAAAAACCATTCTTCTGATATCTCTTTACCCTGAAGAAATACAGATCACTTACTCAGAAGGTATAACTGTGATCCCATGTTACTGAATTCTTGCTTCTGAAAACTTGTTCTTAATGGGATCCTATAAAAGTTTCATGTAAATATTTCCAATATTAAAAATGTATATATTTGATCTGGATTTTGATTACTCAGGTTTTAAGATAATATTGATACTTCTATTTCAGTTATGGGAGGAAGGGAATATAAGTGATTAGTTGATGTGCTCATATTGCAGTATAGACTAATCTCAGATTTTGCCCATTTGTCAAACTCCAACATTGTATTGGATCGTGACTAAGCTACAAACTGATCCTACTAAGATTAGTTGTAATATTTTAAAAATCTATATCTAATAAACTACTGGACACAGTCATGAGAGCACTCCAAAAGTAGTGATATCTGGAAAGGTGTTTTTTTTTTAACCTTTTCTCACTAGCTTATCCCTCTGTTATTTCATGGAGTTTTCTTATCTAAGATAACTGGCCCTGACCCCTAGTTAGCTGCTAAACTCAAATTCAGACGTGTACTTATATACTGGTATTCGAGAAGGTTTGTGAATTCTTTAGAATTAATCTTTAGAACACATTTTTGCAGTATCACATGCAATCTGATCAAAGTTTCATCTAAATCTGTAATAAACTTTGGATAAATAGTGGGTCTTTATTGAATCAACATCTTTGTTGGGAAAAATCCTTATGAGGCCTTAGGACAGGGCTGTCAAACTTGTAGGCCAGATACATCATGCGCTGGCCATGCCCGGTTTAGCAAAGGGGGAAATGTCCCACTGTCACATGACGCCCCTGCCTCAGGATATGAGCTTTCTTAAGATTGTGTTGAGTGAAATATTGGAATCAATTAGATGGCAGGATAGTTCAGGTTGGGGGGGGGGGTGTTTGTCCTCCAGAGTTTGTTTGTGGTATCTTGCCACCATCAGTGTCTTCTGTTCACAACACAACCTTTATGGAAGTGGATCATGCCCAAATGAGAATTTTCTGGAT